GCGCGAATGCAGACGTTCCTGAAGCGACCTGGTTTGCCCTGGGACCGATTCAGCCTCGGAAAGGCGTCCCTCATCTGGGTTCCTTTTGGGACGCATCTCCCTTTCGGGTTTCGGGTTCTCTGGCTTGGCCAATTGCGTTGGTCTTCCCGGTCTGGAAAGCCTTGGCATGACTACCGCTACGAAGTCTTCCGCTTTAAGCGCCGCAAGCGCTGCCTTTCAAACACACACACACACACACACACACACACACACACACACACACACACACCGCCTTCCCTCCGGACCAGCTACAATGGGCTGAGTTGTTCAAAACATCATGAAAGGCGCCGTTTTCTAAAAAGATAAACTGATTGTTATGTAACCTTTTGAGAAGAAATATTTAAAAATGCCTCCTGGCTAGACTTATGGTTGTTGGAAGTCACTCCCTCCTTAGCTAGTGTCCAGGCAGCCTTGCTGGTGACAGTCGTGGGGGGGGAGCTGGAGTGGGGGCGGTAGTTTCAGTTGCCCTTCACAGATTTTTAATCAAGTTTAGCCTATAGTTCTGAGATCTGCTAATGGACCTCCCATCCAAGTAAGATGGAGTATGACACTGTCAGCTCTTTGAAGTAGTCCAGGCGAAAAAGCACAAATCATGAGCACTACCATACCTTTAGGGTTACAATACAGGTAGTCCTTTGCTTTTTCAGGTGGCAACTGGACTTGTGTGTGTGTATTTGTCCAGTATGTATTAGGTAAAAATTATAAGTTGTGGTTAGCCGGCAGCAGGTGTGGACGGCTGAGGAGAGCGAGGACTCAGATGAGGGGCCAGGACCATTAGGGAGTGGACTGCTGCCTTCAGAGATTGTGGGGGCTGGCAGCATTGATGAGGAGGTTCCCAAGGAGCCTGTGCCAAGTGCGCATGCACACAGAATTGCTCAGAGGAAAGAACAGTTGCACAGCATGGGTCACTCTGGAGTAAGGCTGCAAGGTAATGGCCCCTCCCTCAAGAAGATAAAAGCCAGCTGTGAAACAAACCTTCTTTGCAGAAGGCAAAGACGTTTGGAAACTACAGCCTCGTGGAACAATCCAGTATCCTGAGTTTGTATTGCAAATGATTTCTTGTCTGTTATCTTGTGCTTAGGCTTAGGCTTATCACAGCTAATTATTTTGTAAAAGCATTATAAGGTTTTTGTTCCTTTTGAATTTGTGTTTGATTGACAGAAAAGGGCATGGGTCAGAAAATAAGTATGAACATGATTATTAATATATGAAATGGATAAGAATAAAAAAGAACATTAGAACAGGGAGGGTAGGCACATTGGTGCGCTTATGCATGCCCCTTACAGACCTCTTAGGAATGGGGCAAGGTCAACAGTAGACTGTCTGAAATTTTTGGGGTTAGTGGAAGAAACCACAGAGTCAGGTAGAGTATTCCAGGCATTGACTACTCTGTTGCTGAAGTCGTATTTCATGCAATTGAGGGTTTACCTTGAGTTTGTATCTATTGTGTGCTCGTGTATTGCTGTGGTTGAAGCTGAAGTAGTCATTGACGGGTAGGGCATTGCAATGGATAACTTTATGTACTACGCTTAGGTCGGACCGAGGGTGGTGTAGTTCTAAGTTGTCTAGGCCTAAAATTTCAAGTCTGGTGGCATAAGGTATTCTGCAATGAGTAGAGGAGTGGAGAACTCTTCTCGTGAAATATCTCTGGACTCTCTCAATTGTATTAATGTCAGGTATGCAATGCGGATTCCAGACAGATGAGCTGTATTTGAGAATTCATCTAGCAAATTCCTTTTGAAGAGTCTACACTGTCTCACTTCCTCGCCCCTTTAATGACACTACAGTACTCCAGCCCTAAAATGTAGATTTATCTGAGAAACAAAACTTGTTCATATATTGAAATAGTTTAGAAGAAACTATAGAAAAGGGGTGTACATAGACTAATGTGTCCAGTAAAAAAAGATCTTGGGCAGTTTTAAAATATTTTTTGAATCAACTCTTCAAACTAGAACTTTGAGGATACTGTATATATGCTAGGAGCTGCCATCATTCTTGATTTGAAATTTAAACTCATAATTTAAAAATTATGTTTCAACAACAAAATCTGACTGCTCTCCTGTGCCCAGCTACCTGGATGTCAGTCTCACTGAAATTAGTGAGAGTTGAAGGAGGCATGAGTTAGCTAATAATCAGCAATTATTATTTTTCTTCCTCAATGAGAGCATCTAGCCACTTTTGGTTGAGCTTGTTGACCTGACATAGGGTTTCCTGCTTGAACAAGGGTTGGAAAGGAAGAATTGGTCCCTTCCAACTCTATTAACTAAGCAAATGTAATAACTAAGTTGCTTCTTGAATGAAAGACCATTAATGTTGAGGCTAGCCTGGAAAGTTTAAAAAAAAAACCCTATAAGAAGGCAGAAATGGAGAACAGGTGCATACTGTTTCCAAGAAAACTCCATTGTGGATTTCCATGAAGCCATTCAGCTCATAATGACATCTGTAAATTTTACTTTCCTGATGTTGGAAATGAATCCAAATAACAAAAACTTGGATCGGTGAAAAAAACAGATATTTTATTTGTTAAGCTGTTTGCAAAGAGTGGTAGGATCTCAGCTGACCTCAACATGAAGTTTGAGCCAAGAACCACACCTTAGGATTTCAATACATTACATTTTATAGCTTTTCTATCCCGACGCCCCCATGCCAGAGGTGGTATTCAGCAAGTTCTGACCAGTTCTGGAGAACCAGTAGTAGAAATTTTGAGTAGTTTGGAGAACCGATAAATACCACCTTTGACTGGAGATTTTACAGTATCCTTCCCCTGCCACGCCCACCAAGCCAAGCCCACAGAATCAGTAGTAAAAAAAAATGAATCCCACCACTGCCCCATGCCCCTCCTACATCGACCCAGTGACCAAGCACAGCTAATCCGAAAGGCCTTATGGAGACCACTTCATCTCCTTCAACCTCTCCCAATGACCACCCATCACATATTTTGCCAACATAGCTTTTTCTTATCTTACTTGGCATTAAGGAATGTCCCTTCAGCAGGGCCTCTTTCTAACGGTCTGAGAACAAAGAAATATCTATTCCTAACACCACACTCATTACATATTAATGTTACATTCAGCACATCTTCTTAGAACAACATAATGATTATATGCATCTCTAACATATGCAAAGTAAAAGTCTGGTAAACTTAAGCAGATGCTTTGAAAAACAAAATCTAACTTCAACTGATTAAAGAAAGTTAGGGCAATGGTTTATCTCTTCTCCTATTGTCCTCCTAATTGATCACTACCAATTCCTGGAGGAGATAGAGATGGTATTACTTGATACAGAAGGATGTAATTGATTGCAGGTACATGTTTAATAATGAGTAAATGCATTAGAAAATATATATACAGAAGGATTACATCAAGATAGCAAATGTCTATAGAGCAACTATCTTCTTAATGCTCTACTATATTATTCTCTTCACCTACATTTTATTTTTGAATTTTCCTATTTCTAACACTGATCACCTCTGCTAATGATTGCTACATGCTTAACTCTGAACCTTGGACAGTAGAAGCTGCTCTTTCTGCTATTTGAAACACAATCACTGAATTTTACCCAGTTCTGACTTAGCAAGACTTGCTGCAATTTGTCTGTTGTCTGTTTCCCCAAGGGTTTACTTGAGGCCATAAATTACTCGATCTGTATCCTCCACAGTTATGCAAGGCATTTTCCCCCCATCTGCACCTAAACAAGAAAAATGCATTCCATCACTCACCAGCCGGACAAAGGCTCAACTTTATAAACTTGCGTTTGATGGCATTTACTCACAGTTCATATTTATTCCATTTGTTACTTATTTATCTTGCCTTTTCATCTAAAGGTTTCTAACTGGTGTACATGACTCTATGCCCTTACATTTCAAAACCCCAACTCTCCTGTAACGTAGATGAAATAGATTAAGGTCACCAAATATATTTACTTATTATTTATGCCATTTCTGTATTGCCTCAGTCCAAATGAATTCTAATGACCTTTGTGGATGACATATTATCCTATTTAGTGATACGGGTGTCAAACTCAATTTCATTGAGAGCCGCATCAGGTTGTTTTTTTACCTTGGGGGGCTGGGGGGGGCATGGCTGGGGTGGGTGTGAGCAGGGTGGGCATGGCCAGCTCGACATCACTCATGTCGGGGGTACCTGTTTTGGCCTTGGCAGGGCTGGGGGGATCATCCTGCAGCCCTCTGCCAAGCAAAGACAGAGCTCGGAAGGGCCAGGTGTGGCCCTCCCGGGCTCCGTTTTTAGCCG